TGGGGTTCCTGCAGGCCTCGCTCCCGCTCTCAGGACCCCCCACCGGGATCCCCCTGGGGCCTCGTTGCTGAGGCCCCTGGGGCTCCCTAGGGGCAAGCAGCGGCCGGCGGCAGCCAGCAAGAGCGGCCAGCAGCGGCCCGAGCACGACGTGCACGACAGGCACGCCGATGACGGCGACGTCCGCCGAGCACGACCCACCCCTTGGAAGGACAGGACCCCTCTCAAGACAGGACTTCTTTTCATAATCGCTGGAACTACCTTTTCCCAGGACATGACTCCCCCTGTCCCCCAGGATCCACCTTACAGTCTCACCTTCAGCACCCCCTTCCGAACATCCCCACTCAGGCAAGACGCCCTCGCAGGACCTCTCAGGACCCTCCCCAGGAACCCCCTCTCAGAATTGGGGACCGGACGTTGCCGCCGCTGCAGTCGTCGCGCGGTCGTTGTCTCCGGGACTGTGTGCCTGTCATGGTAGCGGATGAGGGTATATGTACGTGCATATACCCAATTCTATGTATACGATGACGATGGTGATGATGATGTTGATGATGATGCGGATGATGATGATGATGATGATGATGATGATGATGATGATGATGATGATGATGATGATGATGATGATGATGATGATGATGATGATGATGATGATGATGATGTTGTTGTTGATGATGATGTTGACGACGATGGTAGTGATGACGATGATGATGACGATGATGATGACGATGATGATGATGAGGATGGTGATGCTGATGATGATGATGGTGGTGGTGGTGATGGTAATGATGATGGTGATGATGATTCTGACGAGGATAAGGATGATGATAATGATGCTGATCGGGGTCTTCGGAGAAAGCTAGAACCTAAGCGCGCGCGTAGCCCGAGTAGCGCGCGTGGATCTAGTAAGTATACACATTTGTTTTCGGATGTGGATCGCATTATGTGTATCATCCCCAATGATCAGCACCATTTGCATGACTATCATCATCATTATCATCATAAGCAGCAGCATCATCATCTTCTTCCTCATCATCATCAGCATCAGCATCATCACCACCATCATCATCAGCAGCAACTGCATCATCATCATCATCATCACCATCATCATCATCATCATCATCATCATCATCATCATCATCATCATCATCATCATCATCATCATCATCAGCACCATCATCATCATCATCATCATCAGCAGCAGCATCATCATCATCCGCCTCCCGTGTGTTCTATCCATATTGATCGGTCGTCCTTTCCTCGTCCCTCCTTCTCCCGTATCCCCCTCCTCCCTCTTCGCCCCTCATCCCGCACCCATCCACTATCTCTCCTGGCCTCGACTAAACTCCTGAGAGTATCCGATCGTTGCTCGCTGCCCGGTACTGCCCGATGTCTTGCCGACAACCGTTCCCGCGGCCCCCCCCAGTCCTGAGAAACGATGCCCCCATGTGTTTTATCCTCGGTATTCATTGTCGTCTCTCCTCGATTATTCCCAACCCTCCTGCGTTGGGTTCTCGTTTTGAATAGAGCACTGCTCGCGCGTCTCCTTCCTTCCCGCCCCCCCCCGTCCCTCTCTTCCCCCCTGCCTTTGACCTCGCCATCCCTGGGGGGCTGCGATCTGTGAAACTGTCGCCACTTTCGAGGCCTGCTGGGGGGCCCAGCACAGTGGGTACACACGGCGGATTGAAATTGGACCTCGCCATCCCTGGGGGGCTGCGATCTGTGAAACTGTCGCCACTTTTCCCAACCCTCCTGCGTTGGGTTCTCGTTTTGAATAGAGCACTGCTCGCGCGAATCCCGCCCCTCTCTCCCCCCCTGCCTTTTACCTGGCTCGTCGCTGCGTTTCGAGGGCTGCTGGGGGCTGCGATTCGAGGGCTGCTGGGGGGCCCAGCACAGTCTGCACCCGCGGCGGACCCAAATTAGACCTCGCCATCCCTGGGGGGCTGCGATCTGCGAAACTGTCGCCACTTTCGAGGGGCTGCTGGGGGGCCCAGCACAGTCTGCAAATTAGACCGCCATCCCTGGGGGGCTGCGATCTGGAAACTGTCGCCACTTTCGAGGCTGCTGCCCAGCACAGTCTGCACCCGCGGCGGACCAAATTAGACCTCGCCATCCCTGGGGGGCTGCGATCTGCGAAACTGTCGCCACTTTCGAGGCTGCTGGGGAGCCCAGCACAGTCTGCACCCGCGGCGGACCCAAATTAAACCTCGCCATCCCTGGGGGGCTGCGATCTACGAAACTGTCGCCACTTTCGAGGGCTGCTGGGGGGCCCAGCACAGTCTGCACGCCGCGGGCGGACTCAATGGGACCTCGCCATCCCCCACTTTCGAGGCCTGCTGGGGGGCCCAGCACGGTCTGCACCCGCGGCGGATCCAAATTGGACCTCGCCATCCCGGGGGGGCTGCGATCTGCGAAACTGTCGCCACTTTCGAGGGCTGCTGGGGGGCCCAGCACAGTGGGTACCCACGGCGGACTCAAATGGGACCTCGCCATCCCAGCACAGTCTGCACCCGCGGAGGACTGAAATGGGACCTCGCCATCCCTGGGGGGCTGCGATCTGTGAAACTGTTGCCACTTTCGAGGCCTGCGGGGGGGCCCAGCACAGTCTGCACCCACGGCGGATTCAAGTTAGACCTCGCCATCCCTGGGGGGCTGCGATCCGTGAAGCTGTCGACACTTTCGAGTCCTGCTGGGGGGCCCAGCACAGTGGGTACACACGGCGGACTCAAATTGGACCTCGCCATCCCTGGGGGGCTGCGATCTGCGAAACTGTCGCCACTTTCGAGGGCTGCTGGGGGGCCCAGCACAGTGGGTACCCGCGGCGGACTCAAATGGGACCTCGTCATCCCTGGGGGGCTGCGATCTGTGAAGCTGTTGCCACTTTCGAGGCCTGCTGGGGGGCCCAGCACAGTTGGTACCCACGGCGGACTCAAATGGGACCTCGCCATCCCTGGGGGGCTGCGATCTGTGAAACTGTCGCCACTTTCGAGGCCTGCTGGGGGGGCCCAGCACAGTGGGTACCCACGGCGGACTCAAATGGGACCTCGCCATCCCTGGGGGGCTGCGATCTGTGAAACTGTCGCCACTTTCGCGGCCTGCTGGGGGGCCCAGCACAGTGACGCCACACGCAGATTCAAATTAGACCTCGCCATCCCTGGGGGGTTGCGATCTGTGAAACTGTCGTCACTTTCGAGGCCTGCTTGCGGGGCCCAGCACAGTGACGCCTCCCAAGTAGCTTACACATCAAGGTGATTGTCCATACAAGTTTCGGCCAACTCCTCGTTTCCATTGATACAACTGGGTTGGGTACGTCACAGTGTAATTTTTCCCCTGTTCGTTCTCGTCGACGCATTCCGCCCATTATTTCCGAAGTGTCACGTTCAAGGCTTAACCGTAGCAGGTTTCGTTCCTGCCGCATCCTACAGAGCACAGCGTGTTCGTCCAGCACTGTGCGTGTCGCAGTCTCTCTCCGACTCGCCCATCCCCCTCCCCTCTCGCCGCCACCACAGCAGCTGTCCTTCTCACCCCCCACCCCTTCTCAACGCGCCCCTCCCCCTTCAGAGGGAGACGTCGAGGAGGAGGAGGAGGAGGAGGAGGAGGAGGAGGAGGAGGGGGAAGAAGAAGAGGAGGAGGAGGAAGAGGAGGAGGGGGGTTGGAGGAGGAAAACGAGGAGGAGGTGGAGGAGGGGCGGAGGTGGAGGCGAAGGAGAATAAGAAGAGGAAGGAGAGGAGGAGGAGGAGGAGCGGAGGGGGGAGGAAAGGGGGGAGGACTGGAGGAAGAGGGAGGCGGAGGAGGAGGAAGAGGAGGAGAAGGAAGGAGGAGGAGAGAGGGGAGGTGAGGGGGAGGCGGAGGCGGAAGGAGGAGGAGGCGGAGGAGGGACATGAGAGGAGGCAAGACAGGGAGGAGGAGGAGGAGGTAGGAGGAGGGGGAGGAGGAAAGTAGGTGCGCTCGCGTCATATCTGACGTCCTACCCTCCCTCCCATCCCTTACCATGGCGCTGATTTTCTGTATCCGCGGACGCGTGTCGTAGCGGACCTGTGGCTCCGCGCGCGCGTGCGTAGTGGGTGGTGGTGCACGTGCGTGCGTGCGTGCGTGTGTGCGTGGTTGTCGTGGTGGTGGTGGTGGTGGTGGTGGTGGTGGTGGTGGTGGTTGGTGGTGGTGGTGGTGGTGGTGGTGGTCGTGGTGGTTGTGGTGATGGTGGTAGGTGGTGGTGCTGGTGTGGTGGTGGTGGTGAGCTGCTGGTGGTGGTGGGTGGTGGTGCGCGTGCGTGCGTGGTTGTGGTGGTGGTGGTGGTGGTGGTGGTGGTGGTGGTGGTGGTGGTGGTGGTGGTTGGTTGTGGTGGTGGTTGTGGTGGTGGTGGTGGTGGTGGTGGTGGTGCGGCGCGGTGGTGGCGGGCGGATGGGCGCGCGAGAAAGAGGCCCGCGCTGGGGCGAGAAAGCCATCCTCAACGACGGAGGCCAAAACACCGATCCGAAAATGAGGCCCACGCTGGAGCGGGAGCACGATTCGGAACGATTCGGGAGCAGAAATGAGGCCGGCGCCTCAGCGAGAGCAGCATTTTTTGGGGAAAAAATGACTGCCGGGGCGCCTGTTACCTTTTTTGTTATTGTTTTTTGGTTTTTCTTCTTTTTTATTTTTCTTTTTTTCCTTCTCGCGAGAGTCGTTTCCCGGATTTTCCGGAGAATCCTGTGTGTAAAAACACAGTACGCGGAGGCGTGCGCGGCATCACCCATCACCGGACGCCATCAGGGCTACTTACCTAGGGAGAGTAGTTTATTTTTTATATTGAGTAATTGTGGAGTGGGGAGGAGGACGAAGAGGAGAGGAGGCGGAGGAGGAGGAGGAGAGGAGGAGGAGGAGAGGAGGAGGAGGGAGGAGGAGGAGGAGGAGGAGGCGGAGGAGGATGGGGAGGGGGAAGGAAGGAGGAGGCGGAGGAGGAGGAGGAGGAGGAGGAGGAGGAGGTTCGGTGGACCACGGCGTGCCCGCGCGGCGCTCTCGCCCACAAGGCTCCCGGACGAGGGCCCGAGCGCCCAGCGAGAGGAGGACCCGACCATCTTGGACGAGGAACGGCCCCCGCGGGCACCGCCCCCCTCCCAGGTCTCAAGGGTTCATTTCCATTCCTCCGATTCGATTCGATTCGAGTTCGATGGATTCCGATTCCGATTCGATTCGACTTCGGAGTCCGATTTGGGATCCGATTTCTCAATGGAGACCTACAAGCCTGCCGATTTCCGCCGATTCGACTTTTCAGGACTCGGGTGCCGATTTCCTCCGATCGAGGTATTTCGATTGCCGATCCGACTAATCGATTCGATTCTGGGCTCTCCTGCTCCTCTCCCAGATCTCGCCGGCGAGCGAGAGGGGGAAGCGGAAGGAAAGGCCTTGTGACAAGTTGTTCCCAACCATCTTGTGGTGTTGGGTCCTCGTTTTGAAGAGGCAGCGCCCGCGTCCCTCACTCCTCTCCTCTCATCCTCCCCACCTCCTCCATCCTCCCATCCCTGCCTCTGCCCTCCGCATGTTAAGCATTTCGGCACACCCCTCATACGCTTCGTGTCCCCATAGGGAGAATCCGAAGACCCCAGTGGCTGCGTTCGCATTCGGTTCCACCTCCATGTAGGCACACCCTTCACAAGTTTCGTGGCCCCATAGTGAGCTCCACCGAAGGCCCCTTTGGCCTCGCACGTTTCGTGCCCCCATTGGGACCTCCACCGAAGGCCCCAGTGGCTGCGTTCGCATGCCGTTCCACCTCCATTTCGGCGCACCCCTCAGCGTTCCGTGACCCCATAGGGAGCTCCATCGAAGGCCCCAGTGGCTGCATTCGCATGCGGTTCCACCCTCAAATTCGGCACATGTTTCAATTATCCCGTGGCCCATTAGGGAGCTCCACACAGGCCCCAGTGGATGCGTTCGCATTCGGTTCCGCCCCCATTTCGGCACACCCTTCACACGTTTCTTGGCCCCATGGGGAGCTCCACCGAAGGCCCTTGTGGCTGCGTTCGCATGCGGTTCCCACCCCCCATTTCGGCACATGTTTCACAAGTTTCGCGGCCTCATAGGGACATTCACCGAAGGCCCCAGTGGCTGCGTTCGCATGCGGTTCCATCCCGATTTCGGCACACCCCTCACACGTTTCGTGGCCCCATGGAGAGCTCCACCGAAGGCCCCCGTCGATGCGTTCGCATTCGGTTCCACCTCCATTTAGGCACACCCCTCACACGTTTCGTGCCCCCACTGGGAGCTCCACCGAAGGCACCAGTGGTTGCGTTCGCATGCGGTTCCACCCTCCATTTAGGCACACCCCTCACCTATCTCATGCCCCATAGGGAGCTCCACCGAAGGCCCCAGTTGCTGCGTTCGCGTGCGGTTCCACGCCACATTGAGGCACACCCTGCACAAGTTTTGTGGCCCCATATGGACCTCCACCGAAGGCCTCAGTGGTTGCGTTCGCATGCGATTCCACCCCCATTTCGGCACACCCCTCACACGTTTCGAGGCCCCATTGGGAGTTCCACCGAAGGCCCCAGTGGCTGCGCTCGCAGGCGGCAAGAAAGCTCCACCGAAGGAGATAATCACAACTACGGCACTCACAATTGCATGGTTGGGTCCCCATTCAGGATAATGTTGTGTCTTCGGGGGAGGCTCAGAAAACATCCTTTTTGTCCCATCCATCCTGTGTTGCTGGGTCCTCGTTTTGAGGAGACAGCGCCCCGCGTTCCTCCTCCGCCCCCCATAGGGAGCTCCGCCGAAGGCCCCAGTGGCAGCGCCCGCATGCGGTTTCACCCACATTTCGCACACCTCTCACACGCTTCGTGGCCCCATAGTGAGCTCCACAGAGGTCCCCAGTCGCAGAGCCCGCATGCAGTTCCACCCCCATCTCGGTGCACCATTCACACGCTTCGTGGCTCCATAGAGAGCTCCACCGAAGGCCCCAATGGCTGCGTTCGCATGCGGTTCCACCCCTCCATTTCGGCACACCATTCACAAGTTTTGTGGCCCCATATGGAGCTCCACCGAAGGCCCCTGTGGCTGCGTTCGCATTCGGTTCCACCCTCCATTTCGGCACACCCTTCACAAGTTCCGGGGTCCCATAGGGAGCTCCACCGAAAGCCCCAGTGGCAGCGCCCGCATGCGGTTCCACTCCAATTTCGGTTTCGGTACCCCCCTCACGCTGCATGGCCCCATAGGGAGCTCCACAGAGGTCCTCAGTGGCAGCGCCCGCATGCGGTTCCACCCCCATTCCGGCACACCCCTCGTACGCTTCGTGGCCCCATAGGGAGCTCAACCGGGGGCCCCTGTGGCTGCGCCCGCATGCAGTTCCACCTTCAATTCCGGCACACCTCTCATACGTTTCGTGGCCCCCGGGGCAGCGCCCGAATGCAGGTCCACCTTATTTTTCGGCACACCTCTCACACGCTTCGTGGTTCCATAGGGAGCTCCAGCATGCGGTTCCACCCGCCATTTCGGCACACCCCTCACACGGTTCGTGGCCCCGCATGGAGCTCCACCGAAGGCCCCAGTGGCTGCGCTCGCATGCGGTTCCACCCCCATCTCGGTGCACCTTTCACACGCTTCGTGGCTCCATAGAGAGCTCCACCGAAGGCCCCTGTGGCAGCGCCCGCATGCGGTTCCACTTCCATTTTGATGCACCCCTCACACGCTTCCTGGCCCCATTAGGGAGCTCCACCGAAGGCCCCTGTGGCAGCGCCCGCATGCGGTTCCACTTCCATTTTGATGCACCCCTCACACGCTTCCTGGCCCCATTAGGGAGCTCCACCGAAGGCCCCTGTGGCTGCGCCCGCATGCAGTTCCACCCTCCTTCCATCCCTGCCTCTGCCCTCCGCATGTCAAGCAATTCGGCACACCCCTCACACGATACGTGGCCCCATAGGGAGCTCCACCGAAGGCCCCTGTGGCAGCGCCCGCATGCGGTTCCACCCCCATTTAGGCACACCCTGCACAAGTTTTGTGGCCCCATATGGAGCTCCACCGAAGGCCCCTGTGGCTGCGTTCGCATTCGGTTCCACCCCACATTCCCCATAGGGAGCTCCACCGAGGGCCCCAGTGGCAGCTCCCGCATTCAGTTCCACCCTCCATTTCTGCACACCTCTCACGCGCTTCGTGGCCCCATAGGGAGCTCCACCGAAGACCCCAGTGGCAGCGCCCGCATGCAGTTCCACTCTAATGTCGGGGCGTCAATCACACGCTTCTTGCCCCCACTGGGAGCTCCACCGAAGACCCCAGTGGCAGCGCCCACATGCTGTTCCACCCGACCCATCTCGGCACACCCTTCACAAGTTTTGTGGCCCCGCATGGAGCTCCACCGAAGGCTCCTGCGGCAGCGCCCGCATGCGGTTCCACCCTCATTTTGATGCACCCCCTCACACGCTTCCTGGCCCCATTAGGGAGCTCCACCGAAGGCCCCAGTGGCTGCGCCCGCATGCAGTTCCACCCTCCTTCCATCCCTGCCTCTGCCCTCCGCATGTCAAGCAATTCGGCACACCCCTCAAACGCTTCGTGGCCCCATATGGAGCTCCACCGAAGGCCCCTGTGGCAGCGCCCGCATGCGGTTCCACCCCCATTTTGGCGCACCCCTCACACGCTTCCTGGCCCCATAAGGAGCTCCACCGAAGGCCCCAGGGGCAGCGCCCGCATGCGGTTCCACGCTCAATTTCGGTTGGCGGATTTATCCTTACCCTGCACTCGTCTTCCTGAGACACTTGTGGGAGCGCGCAGATCATCGCGCGACTCTGTCTGGGCTTCCGGGGAGCCGCCCCCTCTCCAAGGGGAGGCACGAGGGAGCGGAGGTCAGCTCGCGGCGCGCATCGTGGGGCTGGGATGATGCGCGCAGTCGGGTGACATAGGTTTATCATGTTCCAACCTGCTTTAGCCTTGATCACGAAGAAGAATTCCGAGCCGACACTCGTCCGACACTGTTTCGACACTTTTCCGGGCGCTCGAAATTATTTCTTGGACGTGGTCCTCAAGTACGACGGGAGCAACCTAAACATAGGTCTGGGGATGGAGGGCAGATTCGGAGGCCTAGAGGTTCACACCAGCACCAGCATCGGCAGTTGCCTCCGCCGAGGGAAGATGATCCCGATCTCGGCGATGGGGGCAACAGGGTCAGGCCATCGCCTTCCCCTCGTGGGAGCAGCTCCCTGCGTTGGTGCCGGCGTCGAGTTCCAGACCCCCGAGGGGCCAGGCACGCCTCTGGCAGGCTCGGCGGCCCGCCGAAGGGAGAAGCGTCAGCAGGGGCAGACCTGCCCGAGCGGCGGCGGGGGGTGTCTCGGGAGGCCCCCCCTGCCCTCGGAGAGGCCCCCCCTGCGGCCTCGGAGGAGGCTCCGAGGGCCTCCCAGAAGGCCGCGGGCCTCCTGCGCCTTCAAGGGAGGCCCCCCCCCGCCCCCTCGCTGCCTCGCCCCCCGCGGTTTCGCAGCAGGCCTCGAGAAAAGCCCCTTGCGAATTTGGGAGGAGGCCTCTGCCTCTGAGAAGCCCCCCTGCGGTTTTGGAGGAGGCCTCGAGGAGCCCCCCTGCGGTTCCGGAGGAGGCCTCTGCCTTCGAGAAGCCCCCTTGCGTCTTCGGAGGAGGCCTCGAGAGCCTCCCAGGAGGCCGGAGGCCGCCTGTGCCGTTTGGACGCCCCGCCCCTCCTCGCTGCCTTCATTACCCCCCCGGGGCGCGCCGTCGACGGTCGCGGAAGACGGCGGCCCCCCGCCGCGAAGTTCGGCCGCCGCCCGCCCCGCTGTTTCGCTCTCTCGCTCTCTCGAGGGGCCTGTCTTCCACCACCACCACCGCCAGAAGCTGGAGGGGGAAGGAGGTGGAGGATGAGGAGGAGGAAGAAGGGGAGGAGGAGGAGGAGGAGGAGGAGGAGGAGGACGACGACGACGAGGAGGAGGACGAGGAGGAAGAGGAGGAGGAAGAAGAGGAGGAGGAGGAGGAAGAGGAGGAGGAGGAGGAGGAGGAGGACCCCTCCCCCTCCAACTTCTGGTGGTGGTGGTGGCAAACAAGCCCCCGTCATCTCTCGCTCTCTCGCTCTCTCTCGTGCCGCGAGCGGCGCTCGCGGGGGGCGCGCCCTTGCCCGTGGCCGGCGCTCCCCGCCGGCGGCCCCCCCCTCCTTCGCTCCTTTGTTCTTCCTCCTGCCCCACCCATCTTCCTGATATTCATCATCTACCTCCTGCCCCTCGCCCTTGTCATGACGAACGATCAACACGCACCCATACCCATAGGGGGACGGAATGAGCTATGGGTGCGTGTTGTCGAAGGGGAATCTTCGCTCGAATGGGAGCCTCCCCAGGGGTCCGACAACCCGCACCCATACCCATAGCCAGTCCTTCTCCCTCCGACCTTCCTATGGGTATGGGTGTGTGTTTTTCGTTCGTCATGTCAGGGTGCAGATCCTGGACGGCTCACGATTCGGCACCGGCGCTGGTGTCGCTATCCGTGGTCGGAAACTGGCCTGATCCTGCATAGACCCGCTCAAATCCCTTTGAATCCGGCTCAATCGGGCTGAGTCCTCTGCTTAATCCGATTTGATCCAGTTCGATGGCCTTTCAATCGGGTTCAATAGTTTATAACCATTCAGGCGAAGACCGCCCAGAAGTTGCCTCGTAACGCTCCCCTCCCCCTCCCTCAGAGCTCCTGGCTGTTTTCATCTGTTTTCCCAGGGCCAGTTTTTCGACTCGGATCCCTTAAAGATGGTCCCGGAACCCAGTAACGGGCTCCAGAGGTTAAAATACTAGCCCGCCGCTCTGCGGTTGATCGGGAGTTTCTGTATACAGAAGACGGGGCGTGCGTTTCTGGGCGAGAGGAGAACGATCCAGAGGAGAATGAGCGTGAGGACCAGGAGGGCGAGACTCGCGAGGGGGAGGATCAGGACAGTGAGGGTCACGCGGGTGAGAATCAGGCGAGCGTGGAGCAGGAAGGCGCGGGGCCCGATCTCGCACGCTTTGGGAGGATGTCTCGAGCGAGAGCCCTGCTGGGACACGCCCGGCGCGCCCCGACGCGCGCCCCCGAAATGGTCCTTGGAGGCGGCGGCCCTCCTCGCGCGCCGGGGGTCGATTCTGCGAGGGCGTCTCGAGCGAGAGCCCTGCAGGGACACGCCCGGCGCGCCTCGGAGCGCGCCCCGAAAACAATCCTTGGGGGCGCGGTGAGGCCTGACCTCCTCGAGCGCCGCTTCGCGAGGATGTTTCGAGCGAGAGTCAGAGCCTGCCAGATGGTGCGGACGATGCATGCACGACTCACCCCAGTGCATGGGAGAGAATGCACGACAGCTCTGATGAACTCCTCCTCCTCCTCCTCCTCCTCCTCCTCCTCCCGGCGTCGGGCCCGGGGCGACTCAGCGCGCCGGAGGTCGACGTTGCGAGGATGTCTCGAGCGAGAGCCCTGGGCTGGGACGCGCCCGGGGCGCCCTGGCGCGCGCCCCAGAAATGGTCCCTGGGCGCGCGGTGGGGCCTGACCTCCTCGCGCGCCAGGGGTCGACTTTGCGAGGGTGTCTCGAGCGACAGCCCTGCCAGGCTGGGACGCGCCCTGGCGAGCGCCCCAGAAATGGTCCCTGGGGGCACGGCGGGGCCTGACCCACTCGCGCGCCAGGGGTCGACTTTGCGAGGGCGTCTCGAGCGAGAGCCCTGCTGGGACACGCCCAGCGGGAGCCCTGGAAATGGTTCCTGGGGGCGCAGTGGGGCCTGACCTACTCGCGCGCTGGGGGTCGTCTTTGTGAAGATGCCTCGAGCGAGAGCCCTGCTGGGACGCCCAGCGCGCGCCCCGGAAATGGTTCCTGGGGGCGCGGCGGCGGGGCCTGGCCTACTCGCGCGCTGGGGGTCGTCTTTGCGAAGATGTCTCGAGCGAGAGCACGGCTGGGTGGGCCCTGACCTACTCGCGCGCCGGTGGTGAGGGTGACGTGAGTTCCACAGAAACTTCGAAAGACCAGCGGTTTGGAAAGGCATCTCGTCGGAGATCTGGGTGCCTTCCTCCTCCTCGTCCGCTCCCCCCCTCCCCCTCATCCTCCTTCATCCTCCTTCATCCTCCTTCATCCTCCTTCATCCTCATCCTCCTCATCCTCCTTCATCCTCATCATCCTTCATCCTCATCATCCTCCTTCATCCTCATCGTCATCTGGGTTCCTCATCCTCCTTCATCCCCCTCCTCTCCCTGGCTCTGCCCCAGCGACCATGGCGGCGCCGAGCTCGGCGCGGGCGGGCCACGCCGCCGCGGTGGCGGGCGGCCGCGTCCTGCTGGTGGGCGGCCACAACGGGCTGGGGCCCCTGCGCACGCTCGAGGAGCCAGTCCGCCGTTCGCCAGAGGAAGAAGAGGTACAGTGGGAACCCATGCCAAGAAACATCCTGCTTGCCTCTAGGGGCCCTGCGCTTCCTGGGTTTCGATGATTTCGCTGCGGAAAGCGTGACGCTCCCAGATTAGAAATTATCCCAGTGCGACCCTACCTAGGAGTTGGAGCCTCTAGGACAGCAACATTGGTATGAGCGGTAAACGCCGTCCTCCTCCTTCTCCTCATCGTCGTAGTCGTAGCAGTAGCGGGCTCAAGATGGCCCACAGACGGACAACATGCATGGAACATACGTGCGCGCACACACATAAAAGTATATATTTATATGTGTGTAGCAGCAGCAATAATGGATGATGTGTTGCGTTATGCTATGCTATGATATGATATGCTATGCTATGCTATGCTATGCTATGCTATGCTAATGCTAATGCTAATGCTAATGCTAATGCTAATGCTAATGCTAATGCTAATGCTAATGCTAATGCTGTGCTATGCTATGCTATGCTATGCTATGCTGCGCAATGCTATGCTGGGCTAGGCTAGGCTATGCTATGCTATGCTGTGCTATGCCATGCTGCGCTATGCTATGATATGCTATGCTATGCTAATGCTATGCTATGCTATGCTATGCTATGCTATGCTATGCTATGCTTTTGCTGTGCCTTCGCTTTTGCCTTCACGTTTGCCTTTGCTTTTGGTTTTGCTTGGCACCCAGCACTGCCTGGCCCCTTTAAGCCAAGCGAGTAAGAGCCCTTCTAGGCAGAGCCTAGATAGGGAATCAACGGACGTCCTGGGGTCTCAGGGTTGGGTTTTCTGTGGAAGGCTTCTCGTGGTCGAGCTCCTACTGTACCGATACCGCTGCCTTTCCTTCGTTTTCGCCTTCCTGGGCCTCGTGGGAGGTCCTCGTCGCTACATTGCTGCGCCCGCCCCGAAACTCTGGTCGGAACGCACCTCGGGAGAGGTCCGGGGAGCAGCGTTGTCGTGGATGTCCCACGGCCCGATGCCGACGATCCGGGCCGGCCGTCGCTCCTCGAGATTTCGGTCTCCAGGGGCCGCTCGCGCACCCAGACTTCAGGAGGGAAAGTGACACACAAGACACAATGGATCGTCGACTCCCGGGAAGATATGGGGAATCTATGTCAGGAGCAAAGGAAGGACGTACATGTACATGAATCCACGCTGGTTTCGAGAGTACGCATTGCGCAGATGTTCGTATAACGCGGCCAGTCTCGCGGATCGAGGAGCCGTGTTCATGTACATAGCTGGGCGCGTACGTCCTTTGTGGGCTCCCTACTATGGGAAGTGGGGGGGGGGAGACGAAAACCCCGAAAATACCGGGAAACATGGGGAATCCTGTGACTTGTGTCTATCTATTTGTGTGTCCCTCGGCCCCTTCAAGGTTATCCCCAGGGAGCGGGTCGGGACCTCCCCGGCCCCCTGCGCACGCTCGAGGAGCGGGCCGCCCTTCGGCCCCTGCCGTCCGCCCCCCCCCCCCTTCGGCCTCCCGGGGGCCCCATCGCGGGACCCAGGGCCCGTCAAAAAACAGCTCGACATGCGAGACTGGTCCCAGGGATTGGTCCAGAAGTCGGACGAGCCACGCTGCAAGATTCTGTAACGGGAGAGAAGCACGCCGAATATGGCGTAACAAGGTGGGGGCTAGGCTGAGGTAAGCTAAGCGTGCGAGGGTCCCTGGGCAAAGGATACGGGGAATAATAGCTACGCTGTGTAGTTCTCCGTGAGGGGGATAGGAGGATGTAATTCGAGGGCAAAACATGCCCAGAAACAAAGGAGAACCAGATGATGTAACGCAGCTTGTTTGGCTCAAGGAAAAGAGGTTCTCCACACCCCAGTCAATCTTTTTACCCCTGCATGGTAGCGAGAAGTTGTGTTATATTGTTCGCGGGGCTGTGTTGTTCTTCCTTTGGTGGATACCGAATTGATCGGCAAGCCTCGCTCACACAGTGGGGTTTCGCAGGGTTGGCAAAGATGGGAGTTCAGTTTCTCACCGCATCTGGCGGCGATGGAGCCGACACTTGCAGACAAAGCGAAGAGATCGGAAACTGTGCAGAACGTGATCAAGACGAACAGTGTGAGCGAGGAAGAAAGACAGAGCCGACAACTCTCATGTTCATTGTCGCCAGCGTTTTCCAGGGAAACGCCCTCGCTCTCATTATGATTGTGTAAGAAAACTACGGGCTGGAGGCGCGGCGCCTTCTGCGTCGGCGAGAAGAGCTGGAGGAAGGTACTACTCCAGTGGCGATGTGGCAGGCTTTTCTGAACATCCAGACGATTGGCAAATCGGAGAACCGGATCGACGAGATGACGAAGTTATCGGAAAAGGATCAGGCAGTGCGAGGAGAGTTTCAGCGAGGTCTTCGGAGATACGTTACACTAAGCGCTGCAAAAGAAGGTGACGCCACCAGGCCTCAAGGAGCAGGTGGAAATCGAAAACTTAAACCAACGCTGCTCAAAGTTTTCGAGCAGCACGCGGCATCGAAGTCGTTCGCAGTGGCATCTCAAGCAAAACATGGAGGTGGGATTCGTTCCAGGCAAAGGACAGAAGGGTCCGCGGAAAAGGTGGCCAGTGGTCAACACAAGGGCGGTCAGCCCAAGGGTGGAAAGACAAAAGGAGGCAAGGCCAAAACCGACGGTAAAGGCATAGAAAAGTACGACCCCAATCGGAAGTTCGACGGCCACTGCAACCACTGCGGGAAGCATGCGCAACGCAATGAGGATTGCTGGCGCAGGCCGGCAGTGCAGGGGGTGATCGACATATCCAACAGCTTAGGGGAGGCGCGCCCGTCGAGCACGAGCACGTCTTCAACAGCTCCACCGAGCGCGGCCTCAACGAGAGTCGTAGCAGACATCGACAGCGAGCAGTGGTTTAGGCGACGCCCATCGGGGGACAGATCGCATCAGCGGTTACATGCCAAGAACCGTCGTTGGATAGTGGGGCCGATGGCAGCGCTTACCCTTCCGGTTACAAGAGTGAAGTTCCCGCGGCGCCCGCGTGCAAAGTGGAGTTGCACCCGGCGACTGACAAGAGGCCGGACATTCGAGGACTACCGCATCGAACGTCAAATGCATCAAGCCAATGGAGATGCACGCAGGATTCGAGCCCGATGCGCCGCTGGCAATGTCCGGCGTCTTATCGTGTCAGTTGCGGAGAAGGTTGATGAGGGGCCCGCGATGTGCTTCGGGGGGCGGGGCTGGATGGCCATCGGAGTTAGGCGACGCGTTCCACCCGCGGTTTTGCGCGCGGAGAGAGTTGGCAATCAGTTCGCTTTGGTCGAGACCCATCAAGACGGATTCACGGCGCTTGTCGATGGGGACGAAGCGGGGATTCAGGGCGGCGCCCAGAGTGCAGATCGAGGATCAGCAGATGTAGACATGACTGCGCCAGATGAAGTTTCAGGAGGTCCTGGAGTTCAAGAGTCTGCTCTGGCACCCGCAGCAGCGGCGGCCCAGCCGAATCAACCAAGGTCACCGATGCCCCGCGCCAAGGCGGCGCAACCCACTTGCCGCTTGCACCGCGGCGTAATTTCTGCGCCGTGGGAGGAGCGTCGGGCGCGCCCCGCAGGAGGGCGGGATATCCCGGCGAGGGCGCCAACCCAGTGGTACATGTCGATTATGCATTCCACGCGTTCTTAACGGTCGAGGAGAAGGAAGGATCAGAGGCAATTCCTTGTCTGATTGGATAAGTGCGACTTGGGTTCGGGACGCGCGCGAGCAGCGACGTTGAGGAGAGCGGGGCTGGATCTGCATTCGATTGCAGTGGCGGCGGCATTCGTCGACGAGATGGGGCATCAGAGGATAACGGTACAAACCGATGATGAACCGCCCGCTGTAGCTTGATTGCACGCAGCCATTCAGAACATTGCGACGCGACGCGAGCCGAGAGGGGCGTCCGTTGAGAAGGATGCGAAGCGAATTTCGACGCGACAGTCATCAGCTGAGCAAACAGTAAAGGCGCAAAAGGGTTGGGTACGAACCTGCAAGATCGATGGTGAAATTTGGACCTCGATCAGCCGTTCCACTATGAAACGCACGTCATGGAGCCTTCGTGCATAACAGATTCCATGTCGAATCAAGCGGGGAGACACCATTCGATAAGAAAACCGAAGCAATTACAAAAGCGAGCTGTTAAAGCGGGGGGTGCGCGCGCATTCGGGCCAGCGGCGAAAGTGCTCGCACTTTAGAGAGCTGCTGGTCTGAGGGCATTTGGTTGGGGCGTTCCAGTCGTAGTGGCGAAAATTTGGCGGTGGCGCCGACTGGGCCCATGCGTGCTAGAGTTGTGCGTTGAGTTCCCTTGGGCGGTCAGTGGAAGGCGGAGCGAGCGCGAGCTGCGGCTTGGACGCTATGGCGCGCAGACGGAGCTGGAAATATCCAGGAGTGGGCGTCGAGGGGCATGGCTACTGAGCGATGCCACTCATGCGAGGAGGAGCTACAGCCAGCTTTTAGACGGGGGCGCCCACGAAATTGCGCAGCAGCTTGTCGGCAACGCAATGCAGAAGGGCGGATGCGAGCAGCGCGAGCAGGAGCAGCCCAGCTGGCCCTTAACCCCCAGCTCGCGGCTCGAGCTCCAGGATAAGAAGCTGGGCCGCACCGGTCTCCGCTAGCCGCCAGACACGCTCAGGTGCAAGCGCAAGGGGCATCTCTAGAGCCCTCAAGGCCTCCTACGAGACTACATTGCAAACGAATTCTGACCGGGGCCGAGGTGGTCCAAGCACGCAAGTTTCCGGCTCTCGACGGTGGCGGAGGGCCAGCAGTGCCGACGCTGGGGGCAGCCGCGACCTCGGGGTCGGCAGACATGCCAGCGTTGCGTTAAGCCCATCGTCGTGCTTGCACGGGCAGAAGAAGTTCGAAGTCGCGATTTGAAGATGGGGTTACACTCTGGTCAATGTAGTTGCGCCGAGAAGTCTAAGGATGAGGTGGCTTATCCGACGCAACCACCAGCTTCTATGAAGTTGTTGTTTGTACGCGTTGCGATCTATC